AATAATATCAATATTCTTGTTGTTGTTTTCTTTCTATCTGTCTGGTTTTTTTAAAGGTCTAATAACGTTTTTTTTTTAGGATCTCGTAATCTGAATGATGAGCGTGATATGCGTTCACCAGGTGGTGCTATAGGTATGACAATAAATGAAAAAGCTGATTTATCTAATCTGACATATTCATTAATGGAAATTGAACAAGGTGATTTTGTATTTTTAACGACAGATGGTATTAGTGATAATTATGATCCTTGTGTAAGTGGTTCTGCAGCTAGTATTAAAACTCCATTACTTATTCGAAAATCAAGTAATTCAATATCAGAAATACCACCTACATTAATGACTGCTTATGAAAGACATTTATATAGTCTTCGTCGTATATATTTATCTATAGCTGATAATGAAGAACAATTGAATGCTTTCGATCTATGTAATCGTTTATTACAATATGTTATTCGATTAACTGATGAACAAAGACATATAATTGAACAAGGTGTACGTGAGAATGAAGGTATACAAGGTTTAGCACGTAATCAATTTGAAATTGAAATGCGAAATAAAGTTGGAAAAATACCCGGAAAATTAGATCATGCATCAATTGTTGTTTATCAAGTCAGATAATAATTTTTGCTGATTTGTTTTTTTTTCTCTCATTGATTTTTATAGTGTTTTTTTTTTTCGAAACTCAATTTATATTTTATATCAGTATTGAATTAGAAAATATTGTTACTTTTATCAATTGAATAAATATTAGTAGTAACAAATATTATATTCAAAAAGAATTTACTTTAAAATATGTTTTGTTTTTTCTTTCGTTTATACAACTTGTACTTGACATTAATGTGTTTAATCAATGCAAAAATATTAAATTTAAATGTAATACATATTTTGTAGTTTTGAAAATGTTTTTTTTTTTTTTTTCGAAAAATAAATGTATTTTGTTTTCTAAATTAACGAATAATTAGATTGGTAGCTGAACTCTGTATTAGAATTGCAAACTATGTTGTGAATTTTCCACTTCATTGATGAATATATTCGAAGAAATCCAAAAAGTCACAAACTAATTGAATTTCCTTAATAAATACAACTAAACCTCCTGCTAAGTTAAAAGTACTCTGCAAATGCAAAATCAATTAGTCGATCGTGAAATTCAATTATGTTCCGAATATGTCATATTCTTTGGTATACATATTAAAATGTTCTCTTAGATGAAAACAAAATAATTCTATAATGGTTTCGGAGTAATCATTATGAATTATTTGAGCATTGTTAAACAAAGAATGGTCAAAACTGAGGATGCAACGATCAGTACAATTGGATTTAGACATAGCTTTGCACTGGCTAAAATATTTGCGTAAAGACTAACGGTGAATGAATAATAAAAATATGATGATTTTGGATTGAGAAGGTCATTTCAAGAAAATAACTAAGTTTTATAAACAACGCACTAAAGGTTTTATGGGTCCAGAAAGAAGGTTTGTCGAAATTCTTGAGTTCGATTTTCTTGTTTTGAAAAAAAAACTATAAGGAAACATTTCCAAGTGTCGAATCATTTTTCCTCTGAGCTAATGTTCATTTGATGAGTAGTAGTGAGTGATAGAAGAGTCTAGAATGATTTAGCTTTTTTGAAATTTCGAGTTTCGACTTCAAAATTTGCACGAACTAAGTTTCTGATGAGATTTTTCAAGATATAAATACGTGAACAAAATTTGCTTTTACACATGAGAGAATTTCGAATATTGAATATTTCAAGATAGAACAATTTTGAAAATCTAAAACTTGCTCAATGAACTAATCTCATTGAGAATTTTGTTTTGGGGAATGATTGAAGTCGAAATTCTCACATAACCTGAAAGGATCACAGTTTTTTATTGAAAAAAATTAGTAAAATTTCGATATCTCAAGAACGAAGACCCAGAAAAGCAAAACATTTTAAACTATTCTGCTACTCATTGGTACTGATCAAATGAATAGTGTCATGATTGAAAAGTGATTTGACATCTGAAGAAGTTGTCACGATTTAGGCATATATTATAAAATTCAACGATTTTCTTGAAATAGATTTCCGCCGACTAAAAAAGTCGAAATTAATCTAACGAGGGAACCTTTTCAGATGACATCCTCCGTTTTGATTCATTCGTATCTCATTTAATCGAGTATATTGAGGTGGTAAAAAGCCTAAAGGGATTTTCCCCCAATGTTCTTCCTTCAAAAGTTATGGTTGTTTTATTGAATTCTCGACCCATTTCCAGGCATTTACGAAAAAATCAAAAATAGGGAATTTCGCCTTGATATTTCGCCCATAGATAGGTCTAATGGTCTTTAGAATATCCTGAAAGTTTCAGCTAAAAAGAATGTTCCTTTCTTGAGATATTGAATTTTCAAGTGAACTCGGTTTTTGTGACCAATCTGTGGCAGGCGACT